TCTGTCATGTAATGAATTGTGTCCCCCCCATTCGTATGTTGAAACCCTAACACCCAATATCTCTGAATGTGACTGTATTAGGGATTACCTTTGCAGAGTTAATTAAGTCAAAATGAGTCATTAGAGTGAGCCCTAATCCAATATGATGGGTGTCCTTACTAAAAGAGGGAATTGAGACACAGATATTTACAGAGGAAAGACCATATTAAGACACAGAAAGAAGATCTACAAGCCAACTAGAGGCCTCAGAAGAAATCAACCTGCCAACACCTTGGTCTCAGAATACTGCCTCCAAGAAAGCCTTCTGGCTCAAGCTACATCAACTCTTCCCTGGATCTCCAGCCTGCTTGGCCTACCTAGGAATTCAAACTTCCCAGCCCCAAATCATGTGAACCAATTCTTTAAAATAAATCTCTTCTTATACATGCATGTGTGTGTGTGTGTGTGTGTGTGTATGTGTGTCTGTGTGTGTGTGTTAGTTCTGGTTCTCTGGAGAACCCCAATACACATTCTAAATCAAAACCTGTAATTGCTCCTTTATAATGCAAAATACAGTGCCAAATCCTTAGCCTAGTATTCAAAGTCCTCCACAATAATGCCCCAAAGTCGCATTCCAACTATAGTTTATACTACTTTCTTTCAACTACCCTTTGATCAACATGTTAACAGTAACATTTATTGAAAATCAACTATTTAACAGTTAACAAACTTTTTAAACCTAAAAGCATAAACTGGACTCAGACTGGATTCAGATCCAGCAATTTACTTGATCTCCCTAAGCTTCAGTTTCTTCATCTGTAAAATGGGAATCATTCATCCAATTCTACAAATAGTTATTAAATGACTGTAAGTGACATAAGTACAATCATGACATTGCTGGACATTATAGAATGGCTGTTCAGGGTTGTCCTCTAACTCCTCCACGCTGGTGCTGTTTACTGGGAGGAAGGCTGAGGGAAGAGCAGATTTAAGGAAGGCAGTGAATCAAGAACGTTGGGCCACATCTCGGTTGAGATGCCCCTTAGACATACAAGGGGAGATGAGAAGTAAGCCGCAGAAAATATATTAAATGGAGCTCTAAGATTAGGACAAGGCTGGTGATAGAAAACCCAGAGTGATTTGCCTTGAGATGCATTTAGGGCCATGGGCTAAAAAACATAAATTTCGATGTGTGGTGTTATATAAGCCAATCGGAGAAAATGCTCCCAAAGGAGTTAATGATCAGCTTTGTGAAATATAATGAGAAATTCCACTTATGGGATAGCTATATGAGGAGCATACTGGTGAAAACTACCTTAAAAAAATTTAAAGCCTCTGGAAATGTCTTAAGGGCATATAGCAAATAAATATTTATTCAAAGATACACTAAATCTTGGTAAGAACAGTGAGAGCCTGTGACATTTGAGCTATGGCCTGCTCCCTCCACCTGACCCCACCCCCACCTAGCTCAGCTTGGCAGAAGCTCCATTCCAATCAGGTTTGGCCAAAAAGACAGGACTCCCTCCTGTCTCCCTCTGCCAGCTTCCAATCAAGGCAGCAGGTATTTCAGTGGGAGACATAGGACACCAGCATTTCTCATCCTCTCCAACTCTGTGTTTAAGAGGTTAAATTCCTAGTTGAGTGTGACCAAGAGGTCAAGGCTTCCCTTCCTCCATCCAGCTCCCACTTACAGGGTAAGGCTCTACCCCAGTGAGAATATTGGATTCCTAAATATTTTTACACGAATTCACTTGGAGGACATTGGTTCTACTCTGAAAGAAGCAAGCCAGGAAGATCACAGTTACCACTCTACCCAGTGCCCAGAGTATGGCTCAGATATTTTGCTCAGGGCAGGAGATGTTACACAAGAACAGAGCTGCAAATTTTTCACCAAAGGAATTAATTTTATTTAAAACACAGTGTGGGGATGTTCAAGCCTAAGAGCATTCTCAAAAACCATGGCTCCTCTTAATTAAGAGCAATAAGCTAAACCACAGGTCAGCTGGTTTATCAGAGAAAATCAGGCAAAAAGGCATCAAATAAGATCCTGCCTGGGGTCAGAACAAAGCTTTAAAGATCGGCCCCCAAACTACCCGTGTCTGAAATTAATTGGAATAGACTGCAGAGCAATTTGTGCCCCAGGCATAATAAAAAATAATAGAGCAACCAGTCAGCAATTATTGGAGCCTAACAGCTGGGTGTAATACCAAATGAAGCACACAGCATAACTGAGAGATCAGTGGGAGAGAAGGTCAAAGGGAATCGTGCTAAAACTGTGTTATCCCAGGGTGGCTGTGTGCACACCAAGGCTACACTTTCTGAGGAGTGACACCAAAGGCTTCAAACAGTAGGGGAAAAGAGACCTCACTAAAATAGTCTAGCCAAATCACTAACCAACCAAACAACCAAACAAAAACAACAAAGCAAGACCGGGAGAGGGGGTAAGGGAAATCATTATCCACAGCTGCTACAATGCATTTCCTAAAACAAAAATACGAGATAGGCAAAGAAGCAGGAAAGTATGACCTACATACTGGGGGGAAAAGGAGGGAATGGAAATGGCCTGTGAAAGATTTCAGACTGCACAAAGGCTTCCAAGCTGCCATTATAAATATGTTCAACGAACTAAGGGAGAATACGATTAATGTAAGGGAAGATATGATGACTCTCATCAGCAAGAGAATCAATAAAGAGATAAACATTATAAAAAAGAGTATCAAATGGAAATTTTGGAGTTAAAAATACAGTAACTAAAGTGAAAAAACACTAGATGGGCTTGACAGTAGATATGAACAGAAGAATAAGAGAATTTGAAGAGAGATCAATATAGATTATGTAATCTGAAAAAAAAAGAATGAATAAAAATGAATGGAAAATTGCAGAGAAATGTGGGACACCATTAAGTACAGCAACATATGTGTAATGGGAGTACCAGAAGGAGAGAGGAAAAGGAGCATAAAAAATATTTGAGTAAATGACAGCTGAAAGCCCCAAATTTGCTGAAAACATTCACCTACACATCCAAGTAATTAAACAAAGTCCAAGCAGGATACACAGTCTAGAAAAAGATCTACACCAAGACCCATCATGGTAGGTAAAAATACTGAAAGCCAGAAACAAAGAGAAACCTGGAAAGCAGCAAGAGTAAAAAGAGTCAAGGGCCTCCCACAAGCTAGTGACTGGGGAGTACCTCTCCCCCAGCTGGGGTCTGGCTTCCTTCCACCTTCCCTGAATCCCTCAGATTAGATCACTCTTCCAGTACTAACAAAGCAGTGACTACTTCACCTTTTATAACTCATTTCACTTGTAGATGGGTTTGGGCACATATTTTGTGGGATCCAGTGCAAAAATGAGGGGTCCCTGTTCTAAATTTATTAAGGAATTCAAGATGATGGTAGCAAAGCATTAGCATCAAGCTCAGGAAACTTCTGGGCACTGAGTTCTGAATGGCACAAGTCACATGCCCACGAAGCTGGCCCTGCTTAGTTGCTCATTCAATGTCTTTCTTACTAGATCTTAAGAATTATGCAGACAGAGTCCATAGGTTTGTCTCTCTTGCTCACCACTAAATCCTTTTGTCTTTCCCAGGACCTCAGGGGCCACTCAGTCAGTCTGTCAGCATACGGAAGCTCCCTAATTCAGCCTACCTGTTTTGTTTGGATGTAAAAACATAGGTAATAATTGCTCCACTGTATGGAAATTATTACATTTTCCATTTATAAAAGCTTCATCTTTCACTGTGTTTTAGCATGTTGGCCTTTTCAGAAGAGTATAGACAGCTTCTGCCTGATTATTATACATTTACATTGCTGTTCTTAAATAACTTCATATGTATAGACCTACTGAACAGAATATGCCATTTTTCTGAGTTGACCTATTAGGTATGCATGTTTTAGTATTTTCGGTTTCATTTCACATTTACTTAAAAAGTATCCCACTGTATTAACCACTGTTAGCTTTGCTTTTAAGTACTCATACATTTCTAGACTTCTGAACTTTTTGATGAAAAATTACCTTAGCTTTGGATTCCATTTACAAAACTTACACTTCAGACATCTCCATCTTCTCTACTATGTGTATGGTTGGTTACAACAGGTGTGAACAGGTAGATGGTAGGGACTAGACAGGTTGGGTCTTTGGAAATCTACAAACTTCTCTGTGTCTATTTCATTCCTAATGAAATAAGGATACTACACTTGCCTCACAAATTTTATTGAAGACATTTACAGGCACCTAGGAGGGTCACTAACACAGATATGCAATGGATGTCACACTTCCATCCCTCTCATGTGGCACGGGGATGCTTGGATCTGCATGAGATACTATGATCTGTTTCTTGATCCACACAAGTTTCCATTGCTAAGTAAGAATTACTGAATGCTTCATGATTCTTAAAATTCTTCTGATTCAAGCATGTTAATAATTAGCATGTCTCATTAATCACATTCCTGCTGCATCAACAGAGATTTAGCTCATACTAATTTCATGTTGCAAAAGCGTGCCTTCTGAAAAGATGGAACTGCAAAATTCTCAATGAAACGCAACTTTTCAATGCATATGTACACCAAACATTTTAAATAAAGAATTTCATTATACTTTTTAAAAAGCATTTAATCCCAGGGGCCCCTGAGTGGTACAGTCAGTTAAGCGTCCGACTCTTGTTTTCGGCTCAGGTCCTGATCTCAGGGTCATGAGACTGAGTCCTGTGTCAGGCTCTGAACTCAGCGAGGAGTCTGCTAGAGTTTCTCTCTCCTTCTCCCTCTGCCCCTCCCCGTGCACTCTCTCTCTCTCTCTCTCTAGAATAGATGGATAAATCTTTAGAAAATAAATAAATAAAATTTTAAAAAGTATTTAATCCTATGACTCACTTAGCGATCTTTAGTTTAATGAAGTTAGCAGGCTAATACCTGGCTTATTAAGCATCAATGATCTTTACTAACGTACTTTTCCTTATTAAATACAAAATAAACCACTATAAACTATAGTCACAATCATCAGATGAAAGCCACTGAGCAAGTAGATTAGCTATAAAAAAAAGAGTTTATTAAAAAAATAGACAACATATATAAACATCTTTTTCAGTCACAAGGCTTCATAATACAGCATAACAGGCTCAGGCCTTAAATTTCTGCAGTGGGAGCACCTTCAACGTTGACTAATAGTAATCAGCTTAATTTTTCTTTCAACGAGCTAGTAAGTCTACATGATAATAAATAACCAGATTCTGCTAAATATACTAATACACATAGAAAATCGCAAATATACAACAGATCTCAGCAAAACACAACTATTTGCCATCACGTGAGATTGAATCCTTGTATCGCAATTATCTTTTTAATGTAGCTTCGTTTCTAAATTCATCATAATGTAGAGTTGACTAAAATGAAGCTACATGGGAGCAGGAACAGGGCAGAGGGACGAGACTGATGAAGACCCACCACTACCCTCCACCCCTCACTCACACACACACGCACACACACAAACGATGTTTTGGCAGAAGTGAAACTGCGAGTTTCTATACTTCTTTCATGTGCTATTTTAGGCATGTATTTCCTTTACCTTTAGCAGGAAATAATGCCCTCAAATGACTGCATATATAATGAAGCAGCCAACCATAGTTTCAAATGTGATACAGTTTTGAGGAAATAAAATTTTGATTTCGTACTTCAACAATCTCCCAAAAGTGAAGCCAAATCAGAGAATGGACCATAATATGACAAAACAAAGTTAAGTACCTGAGATTTTGCTGCAAGAATTTTAAACCCAAGATTGTTTTCCTTGGGGTAGAATGCACTTATGTTAACATAATCCTTTCATGCTCTGTCCACCATCTTCTGGGGCATACCTGCCAAGTCACTTGATGTTTCTAGTGGCCAAATAATATCATTTTCTTTTTTTCTGCTATAGGTAGATATTTTATCACAGCTGATTTAAATTGCTGACATTTCAGTTATTCAGTAAACCTTAACCAAGGTAAAATTTTAAATGAAATGTCAAGCGATATTTATAATTTGGTTTTTCCTTATGTGCAAAATTTTAAGTATTTATTGTCATCCAAAATAACCACATTCTAGTGACAGAAGGGAAGCATAATGAATTTAACAAAGAACCCAGACAAATTTACAAGCTCCTGGATAGTATTTCTGTAGTTTAATAACTCAGTAGTCTATTTGTATCATAGAGGTATGATTTTATAAAATGACTCATAAAATCATTTAAAATCCTGATCTGCTACCCTAAATCCATTTAAAAGCCCGTATCTGAAAATAAACCATGTTTCTCATTTCCACCATATCAGCTTATCTTAGCAGATGTCTAACTTTTATCCACAATTTACTAAAACATGAAGATAACTACAAAATACTTAAATTCTAACAGTGTTGCCGTTTCTTGATTTGGCAGTGTTTCTCTCTAATGGTATTTGGGACTGTTAAAATAACCATACATTTATAGAGAGAAAAATAAAATTAAATGACATGAATGTTTACAATACGTGAATACATATGTCACTTAATTTTTAAAAATCCTACTACGAAATGAAAAAGCTTTATAGTCTGGATACCAAATAAGTGGCTACTGATAAAACAAGAACCATTTCTATGGGAAGAACCCACAGATTAGCCTCGCTCAGGTGGACATAATGTGGTTTTAGCCAAATGCCCATGACTGACCTTTTAAAAATCTGTTTTGGGATTCTGATGGGTAACATTTTTAGAAGTTACATTCAGTAAAACGTTTACAAGTTACATTCAGCAAAATTTCCTCAAAGAGAGAAATAGGCATAATCCGTGTGACACCTGGACATCTCTATGCATGACAAACCTACTGCTCAGTTCAGGGGTGTCATTGGCTCTCCATCTATTCTAGTCTTTAATTTTTTTTAAATAGATACCTTTAGTGACTATATCACATTATTCTTGGCTTTTTGTTGCACAAATAACAAAAAAAGAGAAAGAAATAAAAAAAAAGAAAGAGAAGGAAGGAAAGGCAAATGGGAAGAAAATGAAGGGAGGGACAAACATGGCGCACCTCATCCCGATTTGGGTTTTGGGGGATGTCAATGAGAACCAATGAAGCATTACAACTATGCTTCAGGTAATTCTACCCAGCATAGCTTTACATTGCTGCACGTTTCTTGTCTTACACGCGTGTGCATTTCAAGTTACTAGGTAAGAATCCAGTAGCAAAAAAAACAACAGCTAACAGCAATCACATACACTTTTCCGAGAAGGTTGACATCCATTACTACTTTAGTAACATGGCCACAGCTTTCGAAAACACAGCAGCATGAAACAGTTCAAAGGTAGACACGCTGTTTTAATTTGTTCACCTTAAACACTAAACAAAGAAATGCTCGAACAACATAAGGCACTTAAGACAGAAACTCCTTCTCCAGGTGATGCACAGACGGTTGGCTAGCTCGGCTCTTCATGCTGCACAAAGGCACCGTGCCGTCCCTGCTCTGGCCTTCGGCGTCAGCGTCCAGGAGGGAAGGCACGTGGGGTGTAGTTCTGTCCCGGGCCCCAGGGGGACCAGCGCTGGTGGGTCCCGGACTCCGCCCGGCAGAGTGCGCCTGCGCGGCGGGCTGCGACTCCGTGCGGCTTCGGAAGGACGCAAGGCGAGGCGGGGGCACGGGGGTGCCGGCTCTTTGTTTTTCAGGCGGGGCCTCTCTTGGCCGGTCACCGTGAGGACCAGCGGAGCACCGGGGCATCCCCAGAGCCCGCTCCGGGGGCAGGTCCGAGGCTCCGGGGGCTGAGCTGAGGGTTGCACCAGCTGCTCGAGAAAGCAAAGACGGTGTGCAATTAGACCGTGACTTCTAAGCCCGTCAACACCCAGACAAGCAACTAGGAGACCGGATCAATTAAGTAGTCACTTTCAAGTGAGCTTCAACAAAACACCCTCAACACACACCTTTTAAAACTATTGGGATACGGTGTTTGTTTGTTTATGAAGAAGTAACTGCAAGGTTGGAAAGAGTGTTTCCGCCAGGGAAACTAGAACCATAAACACAGCCGCATCGCCTTCATGGTGCTTGGGCCAACGATCGTTGTAACTGTTTTAGAAACAGGGGGGGTTTCCAGACGGATTAGATGAGAATAAAGGTTTTTTTGTTTTGTTTTGTTTTTAAATGAAGGGCACATGATGAAACTTCAGATTTTTCAGATTATCATCTGAAAAAATGGATGCCAGCAAGAAAGCAGTTAGATTTTAGATTTTATATCTTGCCCCTTCTTTCTTGTCCTGAAGACCAGATTCATCACCACTCTAGCAAATAATTATTGGCTTATAAGTAAGAGAAAAAGAATGGTTTCTCATGGGATTACTGTCCTAGGATTTCTCCTTGTTCAGTCATCAATTACTAATAGTCTACTGTATTACAAAAGAGTAATACATTTATCTAAAGACAATCGACAATAAACTGAAAAAAAAATCACTTCTGGGTAGGGCGCTGGAAAAGCAGAGGAAAAGAAAGAGAATGGAAACAGTTTCAGTTTTAATATACTTTACAACTAACCATACAGATAACACTGTACAACCTAAAAAGCATTTTTCATATACATGACCTCATTTAATACTCATGATATATATTTGTAATTATCTTTATATACAAAAGAAATAACAGTCAACCCCTGCACAGCGTGCCATTTGACTCTTCCCCCTGCTAAATTTCCACGTAAGCTGAGCAATGACGGCGGGTGACGCAGAAGACCGCCTATCACAGGGGAGGCTAGGTGACCAGTTTCAGCTCCAGCTCTCCCAACTAATCATTGGTTCAGATGTGGGCAAATGACCTGTCCTCTCTACTGTGAGGGGCTTGGGGCAGTTATCCCCCACCTGCTTGTTCTGTTTCAGTTTGCTATTATATACTGACGTTGCTGAGATCAAATTATGCTTTTCCTGGAATTCAAATAATAAAGTCAAATAAAAGAGCAGGGTAAAATTCAAGGAGCTGTATTAACTGTGCAAACAAGCTTGTAAATGTAATCACTTGGAAAAGATACAAGCAGATATCCACACAACTTTACATTCTAATCTCTATAGTGGTGGTACTTTGATCCAACTAATGCAACCTACTTGGGGTCTGAAAAGCATTTCCATCGGACAGGGTTCGTCTGTGATGTGATGCTCGTTCTTTCGAAGAAGCATAATAAGGCACATTCCCCCACGTTTGCTCTAGGAAAGGAGGAGACAGGTTTTTCCATCGACTATGATCAGTCTCAAGTCTCGGCATGGAGGTTGGCTCAAGACTACATCCTCCGATGGCAACGCAATAATCTGGAGTGGGCATCTCGGGGTCCGAAGCAATGTGTGAGCTGCCCTCGGACAACTCTTCACTGTCGGTCTGTAGCAAGCACTTTGTGGAAAGAGAGGGCATGGACAGAAGGCTCATGGCGCTTGGTGGAGGGAGTAAGGGTGGGCTGCTGGCCCTCTCGCCCGTAGACAGTGGCCTTGTGGAAGGACTGGCCCCACCTCGGGACTTGGGAGCCCACTGGAAGATCCCCTCACGTTTCTTCTTTTCTTCTTTGGGCAACAGTTCTTCGGCAGCCTGTGCTTTATTGAGCTCTCTGATATCCAGCCCCAGAGCGACTGACGCCAGCAACATGGTGCAGGTATACAGAGCGGACTCTGTCTTCTTCCTCTGGGGGGATCTGCTTCGATTATTTGTAGGGGTCACCTGAGGCGTGCCGGCAGCAGGGCTCAAAGACGGTCCCTCCTCCCAGCTTCCAGGTTCCACTGGATTCTCTCTCTGGCCATCTTTCCAAAGAGGTAGATCAACGTAGGCTTGACTAGGCGATTTTATTTGCTTTGGTTTTCTGTGCTCTGATCCATCAGGGGAAAGTCTTGGCTCTTCTGAAGCACCTGAACAAAGATAATAAGTACACACGTTAAGTATAATTTACAGGAAAAATCATTAAAACTGTACAATAAGGCTAAAATCTAATAAATATTCTAAGTCAAAGCACATGGAGTCCTTTTCAGCTCAGCAAACCGTTCATCCAGAAGTACCCGAAGGAAAGGGGGCCTAGGGCACAGAACTCAAGGTTCCCTACAGAGGAACCGGCAAGCACATCATCTGCTGTTCCCTATCCTTCAGGAAATCGTTCTTCACTGGCATGGGCAATACAATTATTATAGGAAAAAGTCATCAAGATACAGAAATGCACACACATCCACGCAGGTCCCGTAATGTGTCAGACAAAACGTGCCCTTTGTCTCCTCTCAGTGTGTCGGACCCGGTTATCTGTAGCTCGCCTGTGTGTACAAGAACCGACAGAGCCCAGGTCAGTGGTTCTCAAAGTGTGCCGCCTGGGCCCGAGCACCTGCATCACCTGGAAACTTGTAGAAATGTGAATTCCTGACCCACTCCCGACTATGGAATCAGAAATTCTAGGGCTGCAGCCCAGGGGTCTGTGTTTTAATAAGCCTTTATTCAAGTTTGGGAGCCCCTGTCAGAGAGGACGGTTCTCCAAAGAGGTCCCAAAGGGTAACAAATTAGATCAGCTGAAGAACAAGAGGCCTTTGTTATCACAGAGGTGCTTAGCAGTGAATGAACAAAAACAACAAACTCTTTAATCCATGTTCGAAGCAATCCAGGATAGAGCCTCCAGTGATTTCTCCAGTATTATGTCCTATTACACCTGCAGTGTGCTCTAGAATGCAGACAAGCCAAGACACCGGCTTCGCCCCCAACAAGCTGGTGGTGCTCTCCCCGTCATTGCTGTGCTTTGGGGTGCCCTCTTCTTCCTCTGTCTGGCCTCCTTCCACCTTCTCACACTCACCCCAAGCTCCCTTTTCCCCCAGAAAGCCCTCTCTCAAAGTACCACCTGATGCTAACGCTGCCTAAGGTGGCCCATCCCCCCACACACAATCTCAGCTTCCTCTGAAGCCCCCCCCACCCTTGCATCTTTCTGTTTTTGTACTTTTAGATCACAATCCAGATGTGCATGCCTGCAGATGGTAGGCTTCTGACCACCTGTTTGTCTTTTTAAATTTGGAATAGTACTTTCATCACATAGGCACGAAATGCATTTGGGTGAAATGAATATGTATTACACATGTGCCCAGGACACGTGACAGGTAACAAATTATCAACCCATCATTTAAAAAACAAGAGTGGGGGATGCTATCAACAAGTGAAATTCATTGGCTTAAAAGTATATTGAGCATTTCCTAATATCCATTGTAACCTTCCCTTCCCTTACCCTTACCCTTATGTAGGTAAATATCTACATAAGATCAAAATGTGTCCTTTTGGGATTCATGTAGGCATTTGACAGATGGTGAGTGTTTGCTGTGTTCCAGGCATTGGGAGTGGTAAACAAAACTAATAAAATCCTTGACATTCCAGTTTGGGAATGAAACAGAACACAAACATTAAGGGTGTCAATGTAGACAAATAAGAATTTCAGATAAGAGCTATGAATAAATAAGACTGGGTCATGAGACACAGGGATGGGGTGGGATGCTGCTTCAGCGTAGGTGGTCAGGGAAAGCTTTTAGGAAGTACTCGGGCTGAGACACAAATGCTTAGCAGGACAGGACCACACAGATGGGCGGTGGGAAGGGACCTACAGGTGGGACAGACAAGTGTAAACCTTCTCATTAACTCATCACGTGAACTTCAAGAGTTAACTTAATGGAGACTAAGCTGAGTCAGCCAAATATATCCTTGTATTTCCTCCAACTGTCCTTTGGAAGACTTACTAATGGGTCAGAACATTCTAAATAATAATAATAATAATAATAATAATAAAAGAATTGAGGGAAAAAAGGGTTCTCTGATTAATCTCTCTGATTAGTCACAAATAATGAAAAATACACTATAGGAAGAACAGTTTTATTATAATTAGTTGTTCTTCCTTAGTCTTCAAACCATATTTGAGAATAAATTGTAACATGTAATAAGAGGAGAACCTCTTACCTTCATAGGCAAGAATCAGAATACCATCATGAATGTGACAACAAGAAGCATTTAGCACCCATCTTGCATATACCCAAATGTACTTGTGCAGATATTTATACTGAAACCACATCCTCATGACAATGCAAAAGAGGAAAAGTGAACATGGGTAGTGAGTGATTGGATGCTTGTAAAATTAAGCACGGCACTGATGACAGATTCAAGAAACGGACACCGTGTTCTGCTAAAACATCTTTAATTTGGCCACAGTGTCAAAGGGCTATCGTAAATTGTCAAGTTTAAAGACCAATTTTCTTTTCTTTGGTGATGACAATCCTTGAGGTTTTTCAACAACATGTCTCTGCAACCTTTTAATATCTGAATATTAAATAGGCATACTAAATATTAAAAATAATTATGATTCATCTAAATTAAAGAGATTCCAATGTAATTCTCTCTAAGTGGTGGTTTTCCAGCTCCCTGGTGGTCTAGTGGCTAGGATTCTAAGTGGTGGTTTTCCATAGAGAACTGCTTGACAAAATTTCGTCCTCTTAAGAGGTGGCAAGGCAGCCAGGAGACCACCCCGAAATCTCAGGAGAATTGCAGGATGTCTATGTTTTCATAGTTGCTATCTCCTATACTACATTAACTTGATTCTACAGAATTAATTATGATACTAATTTTTCTGGTAGAGAATAGGAGTTACAAATTCCCAATGAATAATGTGGAGCCTAATTACTTTCCGTCATAAAGACTTACAGGACAGCAAGTAAGTTTTGAGCTTAAGAAAAGGTATAAGCAATGCTACCCTATGCTACTTGAAGGACCACATGAAACTATTAAAACAAAGCCTCTAGAAATTCTTAATCACAGGAAACAAACTGAGTGTTGTTGGAGTTGGGGGTGGGGTGGGAGGGATGGGGTGACTGGGTGATAGACACTGGGGAGGGTATGTGCTCTGGTAAGCGCTGTGAATTGTGCAAGACTGTTGAATCTCAGATCTGTACCTCTGAAACAAATAATGCAATATATGTTAAGAAAAAAAAAAGAAGAAGAAGGTAGCGGGAGGGGAAGAATGAAGCGGGGGAAATCGGAGGGGGAGACGAACCATGAGAGACGATGGACTCTGAAAAACAAACAGGGTTCTAGAGGGGAGGGGGGTGGGAGGATGGGTTAGCCTGGTGGTGGGTATTGAGGAGGGCACATTCTGCATGGAGCACTGGGTGTTATGCACAAACAATGAATCATGGAACACTTCATCTAAAACTAATGATGTAATGTATGGGGATTAACATAAGAATAAAAAAATAAATAAATAAATATAGATCAATTTGGGAAAAAAAAAAAAAAACAAAGCCTCTAGAACGCTCAGATACTAAGTCTAACTCAAACAAATTCTACTTCCTGAAGCACATTTACCTGGCTGGTCCACAAATAATGAAGCCAATGGCATGCTTTTCGGATTCTTTATTAAGAGAGTTGACCAAGGACTGTTACCATCTGAGAGAGGTCTTATTCTAAAAGAGAAAAACGTTTATTTTGATGGAACCACGTGACACACAAACTAGGTTTTCACAGATAAATGCCAACAACATTTTTAAGTAGGAAACGGACAACATTTGTATTGTTCTGAAGGGCTAACAAAGTACAAATTTAAAACCTTGAAATGAGACAGGAAATATATCAAAGTTTTTTAACTGCTTAACTACATAATAACAATTTAGGAGGATAAACTCATCCTAGAAATGAAATTAATATCAAAGTTTTTTAACTGCTTAACTACATAATAACAATTTAGGAGGATAAACTCATCCTAGAAATGAAATTAATATTCAGATATCTCTGTACCATTCCAATCGCTTTGTAAAAGTGAAGTCTGGCCAATGTGGAAATTCACTGCTACCCATCACAGTCTATGCTGAAGAGCCGCCAGATATCACACACTTACCTTTCTTTGCTATCACTTCTTTCTTTCATTTGAATTGAATTGGGTCCCCAGGTACAACCTTTTTTCTTGAAATTCTTTTTCACATCTTCAAATTCTTCTTGTCGGCAGACCGTGTTCCGCCCCCAGGTTTTATTGCTTTCGTCTGAAGTCACTAGGCGGAGAGCGTCACTCATTAACCAATTACAAAAGACCTGAAGTTAGATGAATCAAATCTGTCGTACAACTACCTCACTCAAGATACGTCAACAATGAAGAGACGTAAAGGTGCAGAAATGATTTCTTTCTCGCCCTACCGAGGGCAAACTTCTTCCTCTCGTCATTAAATTAGCCAAAGAGTGGAATGAGTTAAGAGAAAAGATAAACTGAACCTAAGGAACAAAAGTCTATTTTTACATTGCAATTTAATCGGATTTTTCATTAGTCATCACAAATTTTGCTCAGTCATCACCACAGTTTGGCTACAGTTGCTTTTTAAAACCTCAGTTTAACAGTTGCCCCGCCCTCCTTGCTTTTTCTCCTGGCCTCACAGGGAGTTCTGTAGCCACATTTAACATCCACATTTTGCTGACACACTTCCACGCTATCCTTCTAGCCTTGAAGTGCGCTTGCACTTGGGCCTGCAATGGATTTGGACATCACTGGGGAAAGTGGCTACTGTTACTATACACTTAGAAAACCAATCCCGTGAGTAGATGGTCCAAAGCACAATGTAAAACATCATGACATATCTACAGAGGGGAATACTCTATGGCCTTAAGAGATGAGGTTCAGATAAAAGTCATATCAAATGTCTATATTACATATATTACATAGACCCCATTTTATTATGCCTGCATGTGTCTAAACATAGGTATCAAACTTTTATTAAAGTGTTGACCTTTGAGGGAGACGTCTGCTTATGGAAAGATGGAAATTTAACTTCTTTATAATCATTTTTTAAAATTGGCCGCATTATGGATGATGCTTGATTTGTGTGTTTCAGTATTTCCACATTTTAAAATATACATATCTATGTGTACAGAGGTGTTTGTGTGTATGCACGTATATGTGTGTGTGCGACAGTCTAGAATAAGTCGTTCACTCTTCTTAATAGAGCGTCATCCCCGAGTCAGAGAGGAACACTGGGCATCTGCAGGGCCGTGGGAGCAGTGGGCTGGAGTGGACTGCAGGCCGTGGGACTGCCACATGGGACTCTCTCTCACCTACACAATCTGCAGCCTGCGGCCCCTGCGTTAGCAACAATCTTAGAGCTTTAGTTCCCTCATCTTCTTCCTCCCTGTCTTCATTTGCTCTTCTGTTGTCTCTTCTGTTTGGACATTTACCAAACATTTACTGTCCTAAGAGGCTAGAAAGGGTATGCTGAAGAGTCCACGCTCTTGGAGACTCTTTGAATCCAGTGTCATGGCTTCGGAGCTCCTGAGTTAGGTCAAGTTTCATAACCTCTCTGTACCTTATTGGGGGATCACGGTAGTAGCTACTTCATGAGGTTATTTTGAGAATTACATGGATTAAGAGATGGAATGAGCTTAGAATGGTGCGGAGCACAGCAAGTGCTGAGCGGATGGGAACTGTTATCCCAGCTGGGCTGGGGCTGGGTCACAAGGTCTCTGCCGGTATGGAGCTCCTGGGTTTGCTATTTCTGCCTCCACAAAACCATCACAGACTAGTCATCACTACATTTGGCTCGCAGAACATTCTTGGTTTTTGTCTGTTATGCAGATTGGTAAGTAGGACAGGGTGGAAGGAGGGAGGGTTGCTGACATCTTCAGCTTGTATCACTCATCTCTTTGGAAAAATACAAGCTCTAAGTCAACCATCAATTGTAATACTCGGTTATTGAAAAACACGCCAAGGGTGTACCACGGCTGCAGGTTCCTGGAGTAACAGGACTCTGTGGGATGGGCTTTTCCACCCTTTGATTCTATTTGACAACACAGAAAAGGTGTGTTTTACCCTTGCTTTAAGACACACCCTGAAACTTGAATTCTCAGAGGATTAGTAAAATTTTTTTCTTATTCCCAAAGAGAAGTGCGTCCTACATATGGTATCATGTAATAATACCAACCATTAGAGAAAGCCAGAGGAAGTTACAGTAAGAAAAAAATACTAAGAAAATATTTTGTGCAAATATCAGATGTCTTTGGCAGACAGTGGTTCTTTGCATGATGGTGACATACTCATATTTTTATCCAAAGTCAAGTTTATATTGTATTTTTATTTTGGTATTTACTCTTTTAGTCTTTAAACAATTTGGGGGTAATCTCTTTTGCTCAATTTCACTGAAATGATTCTCATCTCTCTCAATACATATAATTATTCTCTCCTTCAGTTTCAGAGGTTTTGGGTTTTTTTTTTTTTTTTTTTTACAATGCTTTTACAATAAATTTTTCTATGTTTACTCACATTTCCCGATCTTTGATCCAGAGGAAATGTGCCCAACAACATCTACAAGTCACAGTAAAAGGAAGTCCATTCCTCTGAATCAGACGTGTCTACTGATGCACCTGATCCACCCGAAAGGCAAAATCCTCATGATGAATGTATGCTAACGCTACAAAAGGCAGACCACAGTGAGAGACTTAAAGGCCATAATGAGCTTCAGGGTAAGAATAATAATAAAAATAATGATCAAAACAACTACCAACACACACAGAGCTCTTACCACGTGTATACACTTGACCCTTTTAAACTACTATGGTCCCCAGTTTACAGAAACAGAATCTGAAGCATGATGAGGTTAAGAAGGTTGCCCAAAATCATAGTGTAGTAGGGCCAGAGCTGGGATTTGTTCCCAGGCAAAGTGGCTCTGGAGTCTATGCTCTTAATGGGCATGCTCTCCTGAATTGTAGAAACAGGATATCCATGCCAGCTAATGACCAGAAGGGACAGACACGAAGACAAGAGGAGCTGTTGGGACTACCTGGGGTCAGAAACAAGAGGACGATGATTCAGAACAAAGAACGTGAACACACAGTTCTGCACACAGAACTGGTCCTGTTTGAAAGATCTGCATTCAAATGCTTTCATCTGTCACTTCCGAGAATGAATGCCGAGCTCGTTGTTGTTTGGGGGAGAGTGGGGATGTTCCCTGAGCTGGCTTCACTGCAACCCCACCAGGTGCGAACTTACGTGAAATCCCAAAAGTGTTCAATTTAACTAGTACAAGTCTTGGGCCGAGCCAGGCTTATCCAGGTACTACGACTTCTCCACTTCCATGAGGCTGTAATCACGACTGAGGAGCATGAAGACAGGGACTCTCGTTTGTTGTGGTGGGAATGCGAAATGGCACAGCCACTCTGGAAGGTGGTTTGGTGTGTCTTCTAGAACTAAACACACTCACCGTACGAACCAGCAATCACACTCATTGCTACTCATCCAAAGGAGTTGACAACCTACGTTCACACAAAAACCTGCGCATGACTTTACAGCACCTTTATTCATAATTGTCAGAACTAAAACTTGGAAGTGACAAAGATGGCTTTCGGTAGGTGAGTAAATAAAAATAACCTGTGCTCTGTCCAGACAATGGAATGCCACTCACTGAACAGCACTGAACAGAAAAGAGCTACCAAGCCATGAAAAGGCATGAAAGAAACTTCAATGCGCATTGCTAAGTGAGAGAAGCCAATCTGGAAAGACTACATGCTGAAGGATTCCAACAGTATGACATTCTGAAAAAGGCAAAACTATAGACAGTGAAAGGATCAGTGGCTGCCAGGCGCTGAGGGTGGAGGGGTGAACGGGTGGAGCACAGAGGATTTTCAGGGCAGTGAAAATACCCTGTATTGTACTATAATGGCGTATACATGTCATTGTGCACTTGTCCAAGCCCAGGATGCATAACACCAAGCGTGACTCCAATATACACTAAAGACTGGGTGATACCGCCGACCTGTCAGTGCACCTTCACTGACTGCAACAAAGCATCCACTGTAGTCATGGTGGGGGAAGCTCTGTGTGTGTGTGTGTGTGTGTGTGTGTGTGGTGGGTGGATAGGGAAATCTCTGCACCTTCCTCTCAATTTTGCTGTGAACCTAAAATTGCTCTAAAAAAGTCAAGTCTGAAGAAAAAAAAAAAGAATATGAAAACATGGAAGAGAACAGAGAAACAGCTGGGCAAAAACAGAAGAATCATGACTTCTTGTTCCCTTGTCCTTTCAACTGAGCTACGACGTAAGCCTAGCTATCCTTTTTGTTCCTTTAATTAAGCCCTTACTCTGTCTAGGCAAAGGCAACGTATGGCTTTATAAGAAATGCTTTTTCAGAAAGATATACTAGTTTTGATAAAATGATGGCCCCTTAAGTTTATTCAGGTCATTATACATTTATTTAGATTATTTCTCTTTAACTGTGAGGAGACTAGTATACTGGGATCCTGGGAGCTTTAAAAAAAACAAATCTCTGCTGGTGTCAAGGTTTTCATTACAAAAAAACCCAAAAACCAAAAACCAAACAAACAAACAAAAAAAGAAATTGACTGTAGGCCTGATTAGGGAAAATATTGTTCTGGATTTTTTTTTCTCCAAATAACTATAGTAAGTAGCAAAGCAAAGAATTAAGTTTGGTGAAGAAAGGAGAAGATGCAAGTCAATTATTTAATAGGGTAACATAGGCTGATTACCACATTACTTGCATATACACATATAAAACACATTCTTGTTTTGCTTTGCCTACTTTTTGGACTCACTTTTGATAAAAGTCAATAGTTCTATTTAATTCCACTAAACTTTGAGTCAGGGTCTAACTGAAAACTCTCACAATGCAAAGGTACTAGGCAAATTAGCTATATGTCTTTTTTTTTTTTTTTCCACCAGTCTGAACACTCTTTCTAAAATCAAAATACTAGGGCGCCTGGGTGGCTCAGTCCTTAAGCATCTGCCTTCGGCTCAGGTCATGATCCCAGAGTCCGCATCAGGCTCCCTGCTCCCCGGGGGAACCCTGCTTCTCCCTCTCCCACTCCCCCTGCTTGTATTCCCTCTCTCGCTGTGTCTCTCTCTGTCGAATAAACAAATAAAATCTTAAAAAAAAAAAAATCAAAATACTACATGGTATTTTAAAGTATTAGGTCGGCCAGTACAGACCAAATGAAAGTTAAATCTCAAAAAGCAAATATTTTTTCTTTATAAAACAAGGAAAGAAATGGAAGTAATCT